AAACCAAAGCTATTTTGATGTAGAAAGTTTCATAAAATCTAATAAGTAGTCTGCCGGGTCAAAAAAATTTTATTTCTCCCACAAAATTTCCTTTGTAACATGCTAATATTTTATTCCTTGTTTTGTTGAAAAAATACGCTCTACATTGGAGTATGTATTTTCTGAAATTTGTAACCCTTTTTCCAGTGCCGGTTTATCCATTGGGCGTTTGGGGTGAGCGCCCAGGGGGCCGGATAGGCTTTGGAGGGCCTGGATAAGCTGGACTTAACCAGATTTTATGGTTATAAATTTCAATCTTCCAGTGCCAGGGGCGCCTGTAGATCTTCTGCATCCACGGCCCGAAATGAGCTTAAATCTGTGCTGCCTTTTTCAATTAAACTGAGGCCTTCTGTCAAATTCCCAACCGTCATTCGATCTTCTGATTGATCAGGGTTTTCAATGTCGCATTTCTATGAGCTCATGAATTATCAGCTCCTGATAGTGGGAATTCAGCAGCTCCTGAACGTCATCACTATACACTTCTAAGTTTAATTGCTTGGCAAGATCGACAACTTCTTCAATCACATTACCAATTTCATCAGGTTCTGTCACTAATTCCGCTTGAGTTTTGGCGATAGAAAAAAAAAAGACAAACGAGATTTGAAAATTGGGTAAGTCGAGGAATCACCAGGGACGTCATAAGGCACGGGCCTCAGTCACAAAGGGAGCCTCGTCTCGTTTTTGACTCAGCCTGAATAAAATCATGATTTAAATAATTTTAACGGTCAAATATTACATCCGGTTGTATTCTCCGAAAAACTGGGAATTTCGGATGATATGTCAACTGGCTAACATGTGATGACCATCGACCATGTATAGGCCAAGGCCTACCCTTATTACTCATTTAGTCAAAAGGTGGCAATCGGTCCAGCCGGTCTGTGCGATTTTAAATCATGCACAGTTGTTTGTTTCGGGTTATTGTTTGCAAGAGTATTTGACAAAATATGCTATGTACTCTCTACTCTTAAGGATCATAGGGTGAGTGAGTGAGTGAATATTAACGTCGCACTGTTCAGCTACACGAGGGCTTTGGGTGACGGACCACGTAATTTTGAACCATGGTCAAGTGACGTAGACGACATCTGAGCTGGCACCGCTCTCAAGGATCATAGGGAGGCCTACATTTGTGTAAGGGCCCAGGGCCTATTTTTTCGTAGGTGCGCAGTTCCTCACACAATAAGTCTTAAGACATCCCTGTATATTACTGTACTTGTTATATACCATTTTTTTAAAAAATTCTGAAACAAATGATGCCGTTTGACTGATCGTGTATCAATGTCACCATGCAAAACAACACAAGAGCTATTGTCGATAGGCCTTGTACTTCTGAGCCTCTTGCATGAGGCGTGGACGACTCTTGAACTGATATTCATTCTAGAAAATTTCGCACATCTCCCCAAAGATAATTGATACCGAAAGAAACGCTGTCCCCAGTTATCTTATATATGATAAATATTTTATATTATCATCATTTTTCCTTTCCCTTTTAGAAAAGATATTAACATAGAATGAGCCTTAATTCATTAATGTAACTCAAACTCAGTGGCGCAACAGCCAATGAGGGCCAGGGCCTAGTATACGTGACCATTGGACGTTGAGGTGCATGAGCAGATGTCCCAATCAGGTGGTCAGTCTGAAATGAGACCCCCAGTGTCTAAGTCCCCAAGTACTCATTTATCGACCTAGTGCAGAAAGAATAGAAGGCTGAGTCGACCTTGCCCAGCCCGGGAATAGAACCCGGACCTGTGGTGTGGAAGCGTGATACGTTACCACTCGACCAATGAGCTTCATTCATTAATATACCCAGTTAAAATAATTTCGAATGTGAATTTTACAATTAGTAAAATATTGAATTTTTGCAAACCATGAACAATATTTATTATTAAATAGAAATTTCTCAATGAACTCTTAACCTTTAAAAAAATATGTCAATGATTACAGATTATTTTATTATATGGATTATTTTTAATACAGATTACTTTATAGATATTATATTTGCAAAAATTTATAATCTGTGTATTTAAAGTAATTTTATACAGAGTATTTTAAACCTTTTTTCTAAGTTACCAGATATTAAAAAACAATGCAAAAATTTCGTATTTTTTGGCTCTTATAAGCAGAAATTAATAAATAAAATCTCTGACAACTGACATACTCGTAGTTAATTTATAAAAACAATTTAATGAAAGAATTGATCGAAAACTATTTAAAAAAAATATGAGCAGTTTCAACATGAAAGTGTTTTTTAAAAAAGTTCATCAAAACTTAATTTTACATTACTTTTGTAACACCTTTTGTACATATATATATATAGCTCAAATTACCCTTAAATACAAACAGTAGTGGTTGGAATACACAATAGTAGTCAAATTTCAGCACTGTCTATCGGTAAATTTAAGTCATTTGTAATAAGCAGCACTCTGCAAAACACTTGTCAACAATAATCAAAAGTTTTTCTTTTGTATACAATAAATACGAGTAAATTACTTATTTTACGCTTCAATTCCAAAGTACTCATTGGAAAAATCTTATTTAATATTTTACAAAATAAAATAATTTGAACATTTTTTTAAAACTATTTATATGTGTTCTAATTTCTGCAATCTTATTTTTAATTTTCTGTCATCTTACATTTACTTTCTTGTTTCCAGAATGCAGGACATCACGATGAGATTTGGAAACGTTCCCGAATCTCCAACCACCCTTCCCAGCCCGCTCTCAAGGAAGGTGAAGCCGACGAATCCGAATTCCGAGATACCGCTCAACCCGGATTCACCATGGAAAAGTTAGCTTATCTCCTAATTGGCACCTGCTGTGGGCTTAGCATCCTATGCCTGTGCGTCGTAGTCATAGCCATCAAATGCAGGCGAGCTCTGGTCGAGAAGAGGATCAAGGCCCAGTTCCAGAGAAGGTTGTATCAACACGAGAGAATGAAGGATTCCCCCTGGCAGCACCAGATGTTCGACCACTTCGTGTACTTGCACAACCAACCCGACAACAGTTCGAGGTCCAGCGCCAACAGTTGCAGTTGCCGATGTGTAACCTGGTCTTTGGGTGCCAGAAATCTTGAAGCATCCAGACCTTTGTGCCCATCGAACAGTAGAAACAGCCTGTATCTTTGTGGACAAAAGAAACTTCCTTTTGGTGCAGCCTCTACCTTAAGGTACGAATCCATGCTGGGACACAAGTCGCCCTCTCAAGGGCAGAATGTCCGAAATGAATCACAGAACTCGGATTCGTCCCATGAAAATGACTCTCTGGAGCAAAATTCGGATTCACGAGATAGCACTACATCCAGACACTGCACTTGCATCAATTATACCATGTGGCCGATGCCTGGTGATGTCCGGCGCGGGATGTATGGTTTGTGTCCAACTGCTGGACATTATGTGGCTGGTGACTGTTCACATCATTCGCCGGAGGACATAGGGGCAATGCCCAGGAACTGTCCGCCTCCGGTGACGGGATCCAATTACTTGGATCGATCGGAGGGTGTGGTGTATTGGTCGTCCAATGATGAGAGACTCATTTGATTTGTTGTGTATCAGGTTTTAAAATAAATAATATACAATTTTAGATACATCTTTTTATTTAACAAACGGATTTTAAATTTTTAAAAATGCTCCTTTATACAAGGAATACATCTATTTGCCTTAAGTGTGTGCTGTTCTTGGTTGTTGGTTGTTTTTTTTTTCAATTGAGTAACTTCGATACTCTTTTATACGATTCAAATATGTGTACGAGGTAGTATAATTGTATGTATCAATATTTCAGTCTCCATTTTTTTCACTTTAAATTGCATCTATATTAAAGATCCATGGTTTCCTAATAGATAACGATATACACAAATATACACTTTTCTTTCTAATCTAGAATAGTACTTCCTATGATTTTAATCTATTTTTTTTAATATAAGAATTCTGGTAGGATCTGAAACAAAAATATTCCTTCAAAGGAAAAAAAAAAAATTTAATTTTTCCACAACAATCATCTTTTCAAATTTTAAAGCATACGCTTTAAAAGGTTTTCATAATTAAAATTTTATTTGGTTTTTTTTCTCGTTAAAAAACCCATCTTTTTTCTAATTCTTTTTACATTATAAGAAATTTTTAATTATATAAGTGTAAAAGTGTCTTGCAAATTTCCATAAATCATATAAACCAGTATAACAAAAATATTTTTAATCCTTTTTTTTATAATGAAATATGTTGCAAATCTTTAATATATATGTTTTAAGAGCATTACACTGTCTGTGAATATAGTCGCATCTACAAGTTATAAAAAAATTCACAGAAACACTCAGCTGCAATGAATTCTTAATTATTCTGTTTGTAAGGCCTCGCTGATCTAGAAATACGCTAATGAATAATTAATAGACACATGAATAAACAAATAAGTAATTCAAAATATAAAAAATGAGACATTTATTTATTTAAATAGCACACTTAACAGCACGGCATAAAGCATTCACCTTGCCCAGCATCATCTAAATGCTCCAATTACATTAGAAATTCAAAAGCCTCACAAACTGTGCTGTCATAATCTTCAGGATCGCAAACGAAATGCGCATCTCTCAGTTGGATTCATATGCGTTCCTGGAATGCAACCAAAGGCTTCTGAAAATTCTCTCAAATTTCGGAGTATACCAGCGATGCTGCAAACATAAAGTTATAATACATTCTTAGTTTACATTATATTTTTCAATTCCTCTGCTATATATTAGTTCACACTCTCCATATATATATATTGTTCAAATTTTCAATCGTTAATAAAATACTTTTTTTCGGGCACTCAAGTTCAAATACATTTTCTTAAACTTGCAGTGGATGACATGATGTTAATACAGTTTTTTCAGCTATGAATTCACTAAATAAGTTTAATCAATGAATAAATAGTAACAAATAAAATTAATTGTCCAACATATAAAAAGTATATGTATAAAAAGGAAAACCGCTCGTTAAGCCCCTGTAGCGCAATCAATAGCGCGTTGGATTCCTAATCCCAAGGTCGTGGGGTCGAATTCCACCTGGGATGGCGAATATCTGAGATTACGTTTTTTTAATTCTTTTTTTTGGAATAAATTTAAAATTTATGGGATTAAATAATAAACAAAAAAAAAAAAATTCAAACCCCTTTTAGAAAAGGGAAAAAGGAAAAATTTTGAAAATCCTTTTTATTTTGCAACTTAATAGTATGACTCTGTCATATGTATATACGTATTTATATTAATTGTAATTATTTAGCAAAAAGTAACTAAAATGAAAATTTTCTTTGTTGACCATATGTAGGAATTTGTTGTTTTTTTTAAAAAATTTTGTTACTTGTTAAGAGAGATTTAAATAAAACAAATTCTCTCTCTCTCACACATTGTCGATACTCAAAGATGCATGTGCTATATTCATAAATATATGTAGATTTGCGTTCACCAGTGAATTATTTGCTGTGCGGGTTAAAAGTAAATCTTTCAACAATTAAAGTTATTTATTTATGAATGTATATCCCATTTTCTATAAAAATAACAACTAATAGCATCAGTAGATTTAAAGACGTTGCAAAAAGCTATAATCGTGTCGCGTGGAAACTATGATCACTGTTTGTTATAATAATACCAACTATAAGTAAGAAAATATTCCATATATTATAAAAGCTTTTCATAAAAAGAGATTTACCTCTTTGTTTTAAAAGAATGTTGTAGAGAAATAAATAATAAAAATAATGATATTTATTAAGAATTAATTATATTGACTTTTTAAATTATAATTAATTAAACTTATAATAAATAAATTAATTATATTAAATAAACTTATAATTAAACTTTTTTTCTAGTTTTAAATTGTTATATAGCCTTTCCAGGGCAACTCAGCTATCCATAAAACATTTCATCTGATCTTCGTATAACTTTGAAAGTAAAAGTATCTTGTTAAATGAAATAAAAAAAGATTCTGTCTTTATATATGACCTTTTTAAATATCACTTTAAATTAAATTATTTTATTTTTACTTCTTAAGGCATTAGGATAGTTTCAAAATATTTTTCATGACAAAAATTTAATTTTGCGGTATCTCATCTTATGTGAATGCATTTGTACAGAAGTTACAGAAACTTATTCTAAATCACAAGATAAATTAAAGTGAGTAAAAAAAATTTGTTTCAATTAATATATTTTCACAGATTTCTATCTGCATCTTGTTTTAAAAGGATTTGTTTGCCTATTATGCAACATAAATGCAAAAATAATAATAATAATAATAAATTCAAATATATATCATATTTTATAAGTAAAAAATTATAATATATCAACCATATATGTGTGAACTATATATATTAATTTTAATAATATACTTTTATACGAAAAAAAATTAGCATAATTTTAGCAAACGAATGGTGATTGTTTCTCTTCCTGAAAAGAATATTTGTTTGATTTTATTCTTCATTGCATCTTCATTCTTCATTGCTTCGTTAAGCTTCCATTCTTCAATTACTTCACATTTGTACACATTGCACTAATTTTATATTTAATTTTATATATTTAACGAAACAATTAATTTTGATATATTCACAATACAATACAATATGACCCAATACACCAGGGGTACTCGACCTTTTTTTCTACCAGGCCACATACATATGACAATTATTTCATGCAGGCCGCAACATGAGGACTGATGGGGGATGGGGAGGCTATGATATCAAGGACATTTAAAATGAGGGAAATTGATAATATTAAAACTCATAATTTTGAATTTTATTTTAAAACTATATTAAGCTTTCTAAGAAACTCAACTCGCAAAAAATAGATTTAATTTCAATTTCCTTTCATCTATGATCCTAAGCGCCCCCCTCCTTCCACACAATATTTTGTTGCTGTTGCAAAGATATTTTAAGAAAGCCAATTTATCACATCTTGAAAGAGATTCTCAAGAAAAAGATCCATTGAAAGATTTGTGCTTAGCGGTATAGTAACGAGCAAAATTATATTTTTTAAATATAACTTTCTTACAACAAATCGAACAAGCTGTTGATCCATGTTTGTTTTTCTCCCTCAAATTGCTTGAAACAATATATATTCTTCAGATATTTTTTGCTTGGAAAACATAAGGGTTAATTAATGATTAGATTTACCCATAAAATAGTCGCTACAAAATGTAATTTTTATCACTAACCGTTAGAATTACAAAAAGGAAAAAAATTATTTCGCAATTCATACCAGCATGACATTGATAGAAAAATTAATATGTGTGATTGATAGAATTTCTCACTAAATTTTAATGCATTGCTCTTAAATAATTTAATTTGTTAGTGCAACAAGCCATGACCGGGCCACTAAAAATGATCCGGTGGGCCACATGCGGCCCGCTGGCCGCAGGTTGAGATCGCTGCAATAGAAGCTCAACTTTCGGAATTGAAATCTACAAACCAATATGACCCAATAGAAGAGTTCAGCTTTCAGAATGAAATCTACAAACCATTCCTAGATACATCTCTATTACTGATAGATTTTTTAATCGTTGCACTTAACGTTGTTACTAAATTGTAAAAAACAAGTTATCTCTTTCAATTTCAAATAGAGAAAATAAATAATTTTAAATAGTTTAGAGTTTCTACAACAGATGGCGCCAGAGGATTTCATTAGTGTACCTATACGCATGTGTGGGATAATTTTTAATCTTTCTCAAAATCGCAGTTTCTAATTCTAAATTAGATTTCAGGTATTTGAAAAAAATAACAAAATTTGATCATATTAAAAAATGAGGGATTCATTCAAAAACATCCTCCTTTTGAAAAAAGAAATTGTCTTTTTGTTCTGTCAAAAATTAATAGATTTTGATTCAGATTTAATAAATTTAATGCAGGAAAACATATTGATTTAAATCCCTTCTTCATTTGAAGTACTTCACAAAAATTTAAAACAAGTAATATAAAAAAACAAAGCAAGGTTTAATATAAACAAACATTTTGTATTTATCTTTAATATCTAGAAGTATTCGAATTTTTAATATATGTTGCTTGCACCTAGTTATATCTTCAGTTTATCTCACAATAATTCTGTTACATGAGGGTTGTAAAGCATGAAAAAGAATTTATATCACAAATATATTGTCGAAATTTTTAACATACACAAACAATAACCAGGTTAGTTTTTATTTCAGCGGGGGTCCCATTCCTACAACACAATTTCTCTCGCTCTCTCTTACTACATGAATATACCTCCGACAAATTTCGTATATAAATTGTTTTAAAACAAATGATGGTAGAAAACAAATGTTTTTCATTAATCGATTTAAAAAACTGAATAACATTTTAAAAAAATAAAGAATTAAATCTGTCATGACTTTTGAAACTGTATATGGAATTAAACTAATATTTGTGTTTAAATATATAAGTAGAATCAAAGCAATTCTTCTGTTAACAAACAGTAGACTTTAAAAATAATCATATATGAAGCATTAGATTTATATCTATTTTAAGGTTATCCTCGGCTAATGTTAAAGAATAGGATTCAAATTCGGAATACTTTTTCAATTATAAAAAAAGCACTCAAACATTAATATTATATTCTGGCTTCACTATCCTTAGAGAATCACTTATTTTATCATACTACTCATTTTTATCCGAGTTGACACATTTTTCCTTTATAAAATGTGTTTCGCATTTTTTTTCTCCCTGTACCGTAATGCTATAGAAGCTATCACTTTACATGTTACAAGGAAAAACTGATTATTTATGAAATATTTTGAAATTTTAAAAACGCCGTATTATAAACAAATGCATGAGTTACAATATCACAAATTATCATAAAAATTGTGACATTTTTTTCTGTCCGAAAATGTGCTCCGCATGAATTTACGCTGTCGTACGTATGTCGAAAACAGCCTTAATATAGTGTTTAATATAAAGTTCAGAAATTATTCGAACACTTTCACACTAACTACAAATAGGATGTACGAGGGTCACTCTCTGAAATTTTTAAGATACCACTAGGTTTTTAAAGTTATACTTAAACAAATTTTTAGTGGTGTTCAAAGTAGTTTCGTCTAGCATCAATGCACTTTTGTAGACGAATTTTCTACAGATTAAATGCTTCAAACCATTCATTTCTTGGAATGATCTATAGCCACATCAATCTCTTATTCTGAATGAAAACGACGTCCATACAAGTTCTTTTTTAGATTAAGAGACAACCAAAAGTCATGCATTGTTAGATCCGAATAATAAGGTGAATGTTTGATCACTGTAACTCGTTTTTGTTTCAGAAACTCAACTGTGTGTTAATCCGCCTGTATGGAAAGATGCATTGTCATGGTGAAGCATTAGTCACCTAACATTAACTTCTAGGAGAATTTCTGGAAGACATTTAGTGGTATATATATACCAGTTTGCTGTTACTGCAGCGTTTCTCAAACTGTGGGGCGTGATAACTCTACAAGGGGGCACGAGCATGTTGAAAAGTTGAAAACTAAAGATTATTCAAAACATTACTAATTTACTGAAAGTAAGCAAACAAAATACTTTCTGATATAATAAAATATAAAATATACATTTATACTGATATAATACACTTATAAAAGTATCTGTACTGTACAATGTATTTTATTATTAATTTAACAATGCTAAGATAAGAACAAGTAGGATAAATACCAGTGACCCCATGGGCCAGCCAGTAACACTTATCTTGATGATTTTTGTACGGTTTATAATTAATTCATAACTGCCGATTAAAAGTTACGCGGTTCGGTCTCCAATGCCACGGTTTTCCTCGTAGACGCGCGTATTTTGATGTTTTTTGCGGGGAGGAGAAAAGGAATAAATAAGCAAAATCCTCTGAAATAAGTAAATCGCTCGCAAAAAGATCAAGGTCGCTTTTATTGTAATCAAAACCTTCGGAATATAATTTTATGGATAGCAGCAGTGCACAGAAAAGATCGTACTTCCGGAAGACGTACATATACGTCAGAAGATTGAAATACTTTGGCTGAGCGAGACGTTTTTATACGTCGATTTGGCACATGGGAGCTAAAGTCATACTGTAGCTT